TCCTCCTCCTCCTCTTCTCCTGCTCCTCCTGCTCCCCCCCACTACTGTTTTTGGCACCGACCTGTGAGTTGCCAGGGGCGATGAGTCATCTCTGGATTGAGGGAGGCTGAGGCCGAGAGGATTCTGAACTGGAACCCAACCTGAGCACTTTATCGAGACTGGGTCTCAACATAAAAAAACTTAGAAAGGGGTGGGGATGTAGCTCAGTGCAAAGGCCCAGGGCTCTGGGTTCTGATCCTCCCCCCCACCCCGTCTCCTTCCCCTTTCTCTTGTCACCCCAACTCCCAGTAACTGGGACTCCTCCAGGGTTCCCCCAAATCTAGTACATTTTTGTTCGTTTTGTTTGGTTTTGGGTTTTTTTGTTTTGATTTTTTTTTTTTTTTTTTTTTCAGGTTTTGAACTGCAGCTTGCGAGGCAGGCTGCAGAACCACTGAGCTAAACCCCTGGCCCCATGGGGTTTTTTGTTGTTTTGTTTTTGGTACTGTGGATTGAACTCGGGTCCTTTCGCTTGTGAGGCAGGTGCTGGAACCACTAAACTAAATCCCCAACCCGTTTTGTTTTGTTTTCAGTACTGAGGACTGAATCCAGGACTTACACTGCGTTACATCCCGGGCTCTTTTTTGAGATAAGATTCTCTCTAAGTGGCTGAACTCCAACTAGCGATCTTCATGCCTCAGCCTCCCTAAGTGCTTTTGCTTCAGAGTCAGGAGCCAGCCAGGCCTGACCCACTCCCCCTAGTGCCACACCAGACACCCCACACCCTGACTCGCCTTTCCCAGGGCGCCTAGGCCTTTCCGGTGCCTCCACCCCCACCCAGTTTCCGGACGCTTCCGGTCAAGAGCTCCTTGGGACCCCCACAAGCAGAAGCCTGGAGAGTCCACATGGAGAAATCCCCCTTAAAGCCAGGGTCTCTCGGAGGAAACTCAAATTTCCCGTTTGTTCCTCCCTGGCCTGGAAGAGGAATTGAAAGGTGCAGGGCGGGCAAACCTCCCGCGCCCAGGTCAGCAAGGTGGACGTTGGCCAGGCCCTCCCTGCGCGGCCTCTCCTGCACCGGGGCGGTGGGCCGCAGACCACCCCAGCCCCGCTCCGCAGAAAGAAGGCCCATAACTGGACGGATTTCTTTTTCCACGCTGGGGCATCTGCCAGCCCTGCCTTGCACCCGGTGTCTAGGCCGGCTGGGGAATTGCAGAGAAAACGGTCTCCATGCGTTCGCTGAGCGATCGTTACCCCGGGCTGAGCAGTTCTGTTTTATTCCGCTGTCCGGTGTCAGGCCGCGGCCAGCGGTCCGGCAACACCTGGAACTGGGCAGCTATGCGAATTGGAGCCCTGCGCAGCGGGGCCCAGCACCGCCGCCGTCCCCGCCGAGGGAGAGACCTCCACCGAGCCCCTCTCCCTCCAACCCTCCGCCGAC